TCTTCAGTCTCCTAGGCTAGCTAAGTCTCGGAATGTAAATGCTGCTGGGTTACTAGTATTCTTGGTCTGCAGCAGGAAATTAGCATTATAAGGCTCAAATATGTTTTGTGGCTCCAGACACTTTTTCTTTTCTTTTTTCTTTTTGGTAAAATATGGTTCTTTTGAAAGTAAAGGTTGCTGACGCCTGTACTAGACCAAATAGAAAATGGATGTTTGTCATGGTGTTGTTGGAAATGTCAAAGCCACTGTAAAAATACATGCTTTGTTTGATTAAACAACTAAAAAAATATCACTTCAATTGACCTTTATCGACTTCCAGTGTTAATTTTAACTCCAGTCTTCAACCTAACTCACAGTATCACACTCAGTAATAATGTAATTATTATTAATTTGATTATCCCTATACCAGTACCCACTGATGCTTTGATTTTTGATTGTTCTTTTGGCTACTTGGGGGCAGCACAACAAACTGCAAACACAACGCTGACATATTATTACAATATAAATTTGATGTGGTGATTGCGTTACCAAACAGTTGATTTGTAGCAACATTAGCATTCATTTGGAGTTGTGTGTTTAACATAGCAAATGTAAGTCCTATGTTCACTCTTCTTTTATCTTTGTTCTTTTCTCCACCAACACCTGAAGAAAATGCTCCACTATGTTCACCAACAAGTTGCTAACTGTTCATCGTGCTGGGCAGGTAGCGTACAGTGGGTTAATCAGAGTTTTTTTGTAAGAATTGTAAAACAGTTTAACCCACATTCCTTCTGGATTCTCACATTTAAGCCCCTAAATATCTTCAAAATAGAGCACAAAATTGGTTCCACAAATTCTCAGAGTCAATTTGATCGTACTTTAAGGGACAGAAGTAAAAAGCATGTTATCCTCTTATTATTGTAGCTTAAAAAAAGAAAAAGAAAAACTCCTATCTCTTCTAGGATTAGGAGAGTCAGAGAACTGTGCCAGTGCACAACTGTTCCTAGCTAATGGCTACAAGGCAGTGACATACAAACACTTTTTGTAAAGGATTTATATACTTGAAATGCTTGTCAACAAAAGAAAGCTCTCACATTAAGCTTGAACACTTCAATCTACAACATGAATCTGATCTGCTCTTGTTGCAGTTGTTGCTTTTGTTTTATAGATTAGGCTTTAGGTAGTCTATAATTGCTTGAAATGAACTAGCTAGTTTGTATATTTTGTACTTTGTTCAGTATTTACTGCTGCATACTGAAGAGGATGACCATAAGACCGACTTTGTGTTGTTGACAATGCGCCACAAGTTTCTGTATAAAAAGCAGGTTGAAAGCTTTATCTGTCATATCCAGCTCATTGCAGTTCGTATTCAGTATGAATTCCTGAACTGAATCCAAGATTAATGATGAGCAACTCCCAAGTCTGCATGATTAACACACCTCCTGGTGTGGAGTGTTACAGTCTCTGCCTGAGTCCCACCAATGGGTGCACTCAGTTATTTGCAGGCCCAAGGCAAATTCAAGCATGAGGACCTTTTGATTACACCCTCAGCATTAACACCCACCCTTCCTACTCACTGAAACTGGGGCTGAGCAGAGAATGTGCTGAAGGGTTGCTGGGACCTCTCCAGCCTGAGAAATATACGCACACTGTGTTTTTTTTTTATTTACCTCATACTTGTTGTCATTATCTTTATTTCTAATATTCATTCTCAGTTGTCTCCAGACATTAGTTGGCAGGCTGCACAGTTAAAATTGTTGCTGCTGCAGGTGCCAGCACTAGAGCTGGCACTACAAGCAGTTTATTCTTTGACATGACACGTTTTTAACAAACCTTTCATTTCTTTTTCTCTGTGCCAAATAGGTAGCATTCATTTTCTGAATTTATTATTTTTGATTGTCAGGAAAAACACTAATATGGATGAACATAACATAACTGTGAGAGAAGACCAATAATTGTTTGAGAGCCTGACTGAGGATGACTGGCACTCTACTCTGAATCATTTTAATCATACCAACAGGTCGGGTGTTCTTTCGAAGGTGAAGCTTACATTATTTTATATTGTTGTACTTTCTGTGCCTCTTTTGTGCAGCAGGGACCTACTTTTGCATGATGGTAAGACAAGTCCATTTCCTCTTTTTAGATAACCGAGTTTCCATAATATCACAGGTCACAGGTGTCCTCTTAATGGTGTGGTTACATTAGAGTTTAGGAGGTGCGTGTATGTATGAGTGTTTTTTTTTTTAAAGCAAATGATAGGAAGAGAGATGCACTGTGGCCCAGCAGGGCATACCAGGAATCTGCTTCAATGCAGGAACACAGGGAAGTAGAGTGTACCAAGAATAGCACCTTTCGTCAGAGGTTGTGAGAGATATACGATACACAACATTTCTGTAAAAAATTAATCAGCTTCACGGATGTTTTGTTTGGATTTAAAAATATTCCCTGTAAATGCCCACTAGAAAGAAAAGAAGATTTAATATCACACAAACTGCTGATGAAGCATGTTCACTTTATGACATAGAGTGTGTGGAGATTAATACAATATCCACTGATGTGTAAAGATAAACAGCAAGTACAACACATACAACAGAAGCCTTAATGTCCATCTTGCATATGTGTATCTGTACTGTGGCCATCGGTTTTCTGTGGTCTTCTGTGGCATTCAGGCAAACTTGAATAGGGAAAGCTGCTACAATTCCTTGATTGTTAGTGGATGAATGGAGAATAATTTGGAAGTGCAACTTGAATATTAAGTGGAAAAATACTGAAGGGAAAAATCTTTGAATGAAAATATTTTTGAACAAAAATGCAGTCTCAGTGAGGAATGAAAATGAATGAAATATGAATAGAGATATAGACACACTGTTTTTTCACATCTCATGAATATTTTAGGCACATTTAAGGGCTGAAACTTTTGGTAACACTGTCTACAACACCTGCTGTCTGCTTACAATGTGTTACACTGTACTGTGCTTATAACAATGTATGTTATAGTTATACTTGGGGGGTGGCCCAATGTGCCTGTCAATCATGATGTGAAACCACATTTTTATAGCATCAAATGACTAATTAAACCAAACTAATCAGAAAAAATTAACACTCTGCCATATAGTGTGATAAGAACTGACAGAAACGTCTTTGGGAAAAATGTATTTTATATTCACTTTGATATTTTAGTTTGGCAGTTGGGCACTGTAGCAAACGTAACTCAAACAGGAATAATAAGAGCATTAAGTTATGGACTATTTTCAGCTGCGGATTAATACACATCTTTTTTGCTCGCTGTGATTAGTTCTGGCAGCAGGATGATACAAAATAATATAATATGTCACCAAGTGCAACAGTGTGGCACACTGATGTGTTTTTAATAGGTTTGGACAGTGGAGCTCTATAGCGCAGAGGAATAAGCTATATCAGGATTTGGATACTCAGACAATAATTGTTACAAGGATAGATTGATTGTTGCTCTTCTAATGGTGACTATTAATGAACAGAATCTTCCCTTGCTTGGTCTATCAAGAGACATGGAGTATCCACATCTCTATATGTTTGCACATAGAGTCACAAACACACAAGTCAGTGATCTGAGTGTCATCTTTAAGTTAGAGCTGCAGATTTCTGATACCCTTTGACACCTCGAGTCATATACTGGCTGTTTGTGTTAAACAGGGCGATATATTAGAATGGCCTGGAGACAGTGAGCTTGGTCCCACCCTTGCTTCGATGTGACACCAGCTGATTTACACTAATGATAAACTGGCTCTTCTTCCCCAGATACACAGCTTCCTGGGATTGACGCGAGTTTTGGCCTTGCTCGCCTCCAACCCTTATCTTGTTAGAGACAATTGAAAAAAGCAATTACCTGCAGATGCCGCATTGTGTCTGACAAACAAGGTAATGTAGCAGAGGACAACAAGCAACCACTCTCTTCATCCTTCTCTCTCTTGTCCTAAAGGGCTGCTTATTTTCTACACTGCACCCATCTTGAAACATTTATAAGCACTGTCCTGTGACCACTGTGACTGCAAATAGCCTTGCCCACACTGCTCGATGACCGAAAACAATCCTGGCAGCCGACTCTGACCCTCCACTCTTCCTCCCCTTTAAAAAGGAATAAAGCTTTCCCTTCAGCATCCCACACCAGGAAATGTTTTGACTCTGTCCAGTTGGTCTGTTGCCCTCATTAAGCCTTCAGAAGAGGCTTTTTGGAGGTTGAGGGTCGCTGCAGTTCTGCCTCTCTTCCTAAACTGGCCTCCAACTTTGTTTATAGTCTGGGACAAATGAAAGGCTCAGTGGATAGAAGTGCAGACTGAAGGGGCCCATCTCATCTACACTAATTTTGTTCTGAATAAAAATGCAATTAGGAGAGCATTTATCTCATGAATAGGGAAGGACTGTGAGAGATCCGTGTGTAGTCTTGTGTGACCTTTTTTTGACATGGAAATGAAGATAATATAATACACCATGCTACTCTTGGTCTCTCAATTTGGACTCAAAATATGTAACAGAGCTGAAGTGTGTGAGGAAACATGCCTTGAAAGGTTACACATGATTTGAAAGAACCGAAAACACTACAGCTAATTAAAGACATTGTTCCACAGTCTTGCTGCAATGGAGCAGTTGATTAGAAATATAATTGGATTGCGAAGTGAGACTTAAGGGAGATGCATGTCTTGTCAGATAGCAATCAGTAAACTATCATGATGAAAATTACATATGAGTGTTCATGTAAACATTTCCTCTTCGGATAATGCAACAGGTATTGACAGTGATGGCCATGTTCTCGAGAGAAATTAAGTTACATATACATTAACATGTACACAACAGCATTCCATTAAGTTTCACATGTCCCAATTGACATCTTTTCCATCCTAGTAATTCTTCAAAATGAAAATGAAGGTACAAAGCTAATTTTTACCGCCTCTTGTGAGTATGACTCGGCTCAGACGTTTTATTTGTTTTAAGAGTTTGTGAATCCTTTTGAGATAGTTTCCTTCCTCACACGGGTCCCACTTCTCTTAGACTGTCTAATTCTGTTCATGAACAAAATGAGAAAAGGAAAGATACAACCACCTTTACTGTTGTTTCCCCTTGATGATATTTTACCAAACACCCTCGTGAATACAGGCACACCTTATACAAAAAAACCCACTTCATTGAACTTTTTAGAAAATTCTTTTTAAGCATGACACCACTCAAACAGGGTGATTATCTTTGGCAAGGTGCCAGAGAGCCGTAGGAGTGCTTTGAAGACATTCCTAAGAGGATATAAATAGTATTTATCCCCAGCAAACCCCATGCAGACAATAGGCTGATACGGAGCTGGTCTGCCTTCTTCTCACTAACCAACGTTTTCCCAGAGAAGCACAGGCCCTCTCGTGCAAGCTTCATCAGATTTGCAACATTTCGCAGACACTTTATATCTCAAAAGCATCTTGAACCAACCACAGTTTGTGGTTGGAAAACAGTGCTGTGCTTTATTTATTTTTTCCCATAGAGGTTGAAGATTCTTATTTCTATATATTTCGAAGAGATGGGAAGTTATATGACAGTTGAAATCATAATTTGAAGGACTTTGTCCTATAATGATTCAGCTTTATACAGCAGAGGATTACAGCCTGAGGCTTGACTCGTAGATATTAAGCTCTCTTGTTGAACCAGGGAGATTTGGTGCTGGATGAAAGTCCAGCTCTACCTGCAATAACTGTGTCCAGAGATGTTATTTTTAAGAAATGAGTGAGCCGGACTGTTTGTGTTTTGGTTATATCACATGTGAGCATCCTTTCTCTGGCATATTCAGTCAATCAAACCTGCTGCACTTTTCTTTTTCTCACCTTCCCAGTAACATTTTATTTAAAAAGAAAATTTTAAACGAGAATTTTACAACACAATGAAAGTAATGATTGCTTGCCAATGTAACCCCACCTGATCTCTGTCCCATGACACTGAAATCAGGTTGTATAGCAGAATTGTGATCTCACAGGGTATAAATATTTACTTACAAAACACTGAGGTATTGTGAGGTAGTGAAATGAAATACACAGATTTATGCAATGGATTTAGCACACACAGGCTGCAGCTTGGCCATTGTTCTGGTGCAAGGTGGTGCGATGGTGTGGTGAGGCTGTGAGATTAGACTCTTACGTAAGTTTGGGGGTTCACTGATAATGAATGGCTGAGAGCCCCGCTGTAGCTTTACCTGCAGCAGGCAATGATAAATGTATCTGAATAACCTGTGATAAAGCCACACATTTCAACCATCCAACACGCTTTACTTGATGACAAACCTTGTTTGACCTATAAGATTTAATTTCTTCTTTTCCACCATAACACATCCACAGCTTACCTGCTTGTCCCCATGCTCATATCTTATAGATTAATCTTCTATTTATCTCAACACAAAACAACCAGCCACCAGCACTGGAATCCAGCTTCCTTCATGGCTTTAATTTTACTCTGAAGTAGCTCTTTCCCCATGCTTGCTGCAGCATACAACATTGATTCAATACAGGGATTTCTTGATCAAAGGTGCAGATTTCCAGGACTTATTATACAGTGCCTTATATATTGCAACTTTGCATATCCCAAGTGGCAAAAATATATCTAATGATTAAATAACTGACCATGTTTGATGCTTGCAACACTGAAGCGCTAAAATATTTTTGTTTTGCTCAACTTTACATTTTATTTATAGACTTTTAAATGTGTACACAACACTGGATCACTTTTTTTTCAATATGATAGTAGTTACATTAAAATGATTTTGAGGAGGGGAACCAGTCAGCCAAAAGAATGAGTTTTAATAATATAATTTCTCCCAAGCACTGTTGAGTAAGAGGCAAAACAGATTTGTCCCAGGAACCCTTTCTGTGTTCATGTGCGTTTAGAAGTTCTGCATATGATTTTCTTGAAGGATTTCCTGAAATCCCTGTTGAAAATAGTGTATATTATGGGGTTTACAGAACTATTGCAGTAGCCAATCCAAAAGAAAAGGTTGAAAAGTGCGCCAGGGATGTAGCAGCTGTCTCTGCAGATAGCATGCAGGGTGTAAGTAAAGAAGAAAGGGAACCAGCAAAGCACAAACACCCCCATCACTACCGCCAGCACGAAGGTGAAACGTTTCTCCCGCATCTGGGCCACTTTGGTTTTGTTGGCCGCGGCCAGCTGTTGTCGCGCAGCTGGGTTCTTCTGCTCCGGGTAGAGCTGTAACGCCCGAGCCGAAGCCCAGGAGAGACGGCAGTTCTGAGGAGGGCAGCAGTCTGACCCCTCCACCTTCCTCCGCTTGGTGAAGCGATGATTGCGGGGTTTAGTATCCGACGGACAGCAGCTCTCCTCCAGGTCGATGTCATCCAGCTCCCCTTGCCTCTGCTGGTGGCTGCCGGAGCTCTGGCTACTGGGGCTCTCCATCTCGAAACGATCCTTCCTGACGAAACAGGTCTCGGACTGAGAGGGCTGCCTCTCCAGGCCGTTCTTGGCCACGAACACGGTGGAGGAGCGCTGCTTGGCAACCTTATAGATCTTACAGTAAACCAGAATCATGATGAGACCTGGCGCGAAGAAGGACACCAGGCAGGAGGAGAGGATGTACCAGGTCTCATCGTTTAGCAGGCACTCTCGTTCGTCATGTTTGGTCATGAGAAGAGGAGGGAAGGAGATGACAGCAAGATATTATCCACCACGACAGCGATAATGGATGAATCCCTTAGGTGTCGCCTTCAGGTTTGGTAGCTGACCGCTTTGTCACTGACCAGCTAGCGGTCCAGGCTGATGGCGCACAGGTGCACGATGGATGAGGTGCAGAACAACACATCCAGAGCCAGATAGAAGGCGCACCAAGTACTCCCAAAGTACCAGTAGCCCATGACCTCATTGGCGAGGGAGAAGGGGATGACCAGTGTGGCCACGAGAATGTCCGCTGATGCCAGAGAGACCAGAAAAAGGTTCTGGGGCGCACGGAGAGCCCGGCTGGTCAGCACCGCTACAATCACCAACACGTTACCGACAATGGTCACCGAAATGATCACACTCACCACCAGGATGATGAGGGCAGTGGCTGCCTCCGTATGTGGCAAGGCGAGCGGTGCGTCCGTGGTGTTCACATCGTTGGAAACGTTTTCCACTGACAGATTTAATTGGGTTAACTCCATTCTGGCTCCAACTTGTCCTTTCGTATCATGTTTGTTGTTTTGCACCCGTTTCCTTTCCAAAACAGCTAAGATTGGGTGCGCTGCCTTTCACTGATGCATGGCGATACTTTGCGCGTAACGCTCCCGCACAAACGCATCTCCTCAAATGGCAAACCCTTCATTACAGGTCCTCTAAATAGTTCCGACGAGCCCACGAAGTTCCGAGAATATTCGCAGAAGCAATACAGTTCACAAACCAGGGCACCCACGAACCAAAGTCGTCCCCTGCTGTACATCTCCGTGCGTAATGCTGCTTTAGCGTTTTGGAGAACAGCATCGCTTTGGAGAAGCAGGGAGACGCACACTGTTGGTGGAATGAATGCCCATACAGGAGTGAGGTGACATCACTCCCAGGACCAGCCCATCTCTAAACTTAAAGGAGAGAGGCATAGGGAGAGAGAGAGAGAGAGCATTCTTTAGACAGTGTGATTTGAGTAAGTCCAGCCCTTGGGTGTTTGATTTCATACTCACACATTGTTGTTTTCTTTCTTTAATATTTACCTTTTTCTCAGCATTATATGTCTCAGCATGTGACATAATGTACGTCACGGTATAACATTCTTGGGTTGCAGAACAAAATTTACCACTGTAGCTTTCCATTGTAATCGATTCAAATTATTATATTGCACTGACAGCGCCATGATGTTTAGGGTGACATAACCATCAAGAGTCACTGATGGATATGGTGGAAAAACCGCACAGCTGGAGTTTTCTCTGAACTTTATCAGCCCTGCAGGGCCACCAATTAGGAGGCCATAGTGTTCAAAGTAAAAAGGCTTTCATGCAACAGTAATTGATTGATGAAATTTGTGAAATTTAGTGGTACATTTTTTATGGTACACTTCTGGGATGGAGGCTTAGGCTTGTTTCTATGCACTCTTTTACATTATTCATACACTAGAATGTGCTTGCACATAGAGGTGACCATAATACCTGTTACTGAAAGGCTTACATATTTTTGCTCTGGAGGTCTAGTTATATAACATGCAGCGGAGTTATGCAGTCATACATACAGCCAGGATATTTACCCTTCAGGAGTGATATACAAAATCATGTGCGCGCACACACGCAGGGGCCAGTCAGGGGTCATTGTGAAATAAAACTATAAAATAAAATTGCTGCTGAGCTGATGAGCTGACTGTAGCTCTGCTCACCAGATGCACTTCACTAATTTTGGATTAAAAACAAAAATCTATTTATAAAGTAAATAGCATGAGCTGGAATCCTGTCAGTATGGGATTTGCAGTCCAGCAAAAGGTCTTCGATGGATGCCAACATTAATGTTTATGTATGTGTGTGCATCTGTGTTCATCCTTGAAAGTGAGTCTGGCGGCTCAGCAAGAACACCTCTTATTGGCTACAGTGAGATGAAACACAGAAGAAGATTTGGATGAGGACATGTGGAGGAGGATTTCGGACAGCCTCTCCTGCTACGGTCTCTTCTCTCACACTCTCTCTCGCTATGATCTAACTCCCCGGGATGAGCATGAAAAACAGTGAAGATCATCTAAAGGGTGACTGTCAACATATATCAGTGCTCTGTAGAAATCCCCTTAAGGGTCTACCTGCTGCATAAAAACAAACAAAAAACACTGACCTCATTAACCAGCATCCTCCAACACACACATTATCTTTATACAAGCAGAACAACAAGAATTTTGTTGTGTCTGACAGTAGAACCTGAGGGGTTTCCAAGAAATTACGTACAATTATAATTATTACAAATGAGCTAGTATTGTTATGCAACTCTTTGATGGAAGCAATGGATGCAATTACACATATTTCTTTTTTTGCATTTTGTTCTAACATTAAAGGAACATTAACAAATGTATTGATTTGTTCCAAAGCAGAAGACAGACCAGACAAAGCCAAAATGTGATATATACTTTTACCGTGGCAAAAAAAATCAATTATGCAGCTGGGCCTGATTTTTGGATTTGCAGGTGTTGACAAAATCTAGTCAAAGCAAGTACAAAATGTTTTGACTGTGTTCTGGCTCTACTTTCTACCCAGAAATTGCAGACAATAGTTTAAGAGAACAGAACTGTCTCTACAAAACTGTTGTCCTCGCTTATCCAAAATGTACAATTATGTAACGTTTTTTTGCTAAATATCTTTTGAAGCTGAAAGTCACTTTAGAAACTTGTTAGTATGCTAAGGTAATGCGCTTGCACGGACACAGACACACACACCCACACCCACATACCCTCCTCCATTTCATGCACATCACAAAGCATGCATATGTAAAAACAGTGCTGCACATGTACTATACCACAAAAAATAAATAAATAAAAGAAAATGCATACACACAAGCAAATATCCATACATACTGTATTTATACACACATACATTTTGACTTGCAGTCCTTGTTTTCTTTATTTAAATTTTCTAATTCTATATTTAATTGTTATGCACGAAGATACCAAGGTAAATTCCTTATATGTGAAAACTTACTTGGCAATAAAACTCATTCTTAAAATTATTTTCTGATCTCAGGAAAACTCAATATGAAAAATAATTACGCACATGTTCCTTCCAGCCTTCCATACTTTCTATTCTGAGCAATACAACAATACCCAGCATCCTGTCACTTTGGATCCAGCTTCCTGTTATGATGCAGCCGTCACACCTAATGAGGGGTGGATACGCAGACATGCCTGTCCTGAGGTCCCGGCCTCTTTCTGGCTAAAGGTTTTTCCTCAAATTAAGAAATTACACAAATCAAATCTCTCATCAACCAATAGTAAAAACATTTTTCCAATATGGAATAAAAAAAACATCATTAAACAGGCAAAACTAATCAACTATTCAGTTTGTTTGACATCTTCAAAAAAAAGGCATGACCCCTGTGTGACAGAGATTCTTTTAATGTCACATGTTTAAATATAACTCTCTGAAGCTACTGAAGCGCTTCGGAGTAGCACAAACATTTACCGAGTCACCCAAATGGCTTAAATCTCGTCATCTCATCAATCATTAGATTTGCACCGTGATTTGACAACTTGTTCCACTGCCAGCAGGTAATGTTTTCAGTAATGTGATTTTAGTGATAATTACTGCCCCCAGAAATTATTCATTAGCTTAGCAGTGATTATTAATAAGCTTGCTGAACACCATTTCACGGCCAAATCAGTGTGCTTTTTTTTCTCACTTACATGGATGTCTTTTAGCCTTAAACCAAAAGTGTGTTGTAAATGTAAAGGCTTATAGGAGATAAACAAGAGAGGTTGCCACTTCTGATTATGGGTAGAGGCCTTGTGAAAATATGGTATGCTGACAAATGATGATGCCGATAACACTGTTTATTGGGCATACAAGACTGTGTAGAGGAAAAGAATAGATCACTGAGAGGGCAGACGTATTCAGAAGAGTCTGATGGCTGTGTTTCTCTGGCTGCCTCCATCCTCTTACCTTCCTGTTTTCTTGTAAGGAGGCTGCTTAGGCTGGTTGCGAGCAGAACCCACTCTTGCGTTATGTAACGTTCCAGGAATAAATGGCCCGAAGTGGTGTGTGAAAACGTCATCTCAGGTTGCAGGTGATTTCACATAGTAAACATTTTCTTCAGAGAATTCAGCCTGCAGAAATTCAGCCAGGATGATTACTTAAATATGCATAATTATTTGTGTACGCATGTTACAGGATCCTTGGATAATTGTTGGTGTTAGTAATAACTTGTAACAAGATAGTGCCATACATATTGAGTGGCGAAGAGGCTCTTCTGTGTGCTGTGTGTGTGAGCACAGCCACCTCGTGAATTTCACGATGCTTATCTTTCAGAGATCACACATCTTTTTACATCTCCCACCTTCTTCTAGTGTTGCTATTGTTGTCAGTAGGCTTGGCGGGTCTGGATAAATACATCACCGCTGACCTTTGTTGTGTCCCAAACAAACAAGATTTCCCTCAGATTTTTGTCCACAGCTTTGGACAAAACTGCACTGGAATTTGAAAGCGTGGTCGGATTAATGAAGCATTGAAGGTCACACATGTCAGCACATTCCCTGATAGTTTCACCTCAAATTATAAGAGATTTCAGCTGCAGTTTGGTACGGCAGTTTTTTGAGGCTCAAAGGGCAATAAATGTATCGGCAATCACTTCAATTTTTAAACCATGTTGGCTCTTTTCAGTAATTTCAAATACTTAAGCAGACATGATGTAATTTCTGCTGATCTTGAATATGTTTAAACTAGAACTAGTCAATTAGTTTCATCAGCTGCTATCTGAATTGGAATGAGGTATAAAGGGCTTCATCTTTGATAAAGAGCTGTAATAGTTGGGTACACATTCAGCAGAGGAAGCCGCTTTTAAAATTTACTTCCAAGACCACAGAGAATAGGCTTCCTGCAAAAACACTTCAGTGAGGATCCTCCATCTCATTTTAGGGGGGAAAAAAACACATTTGTGGCTGTTTAAGAGTATCTAATGTCCTCGGTGTTTGTGTGTGATTTGGTTAACTGGTGGCCGGGCTTAAAATGAAGAAAGATGGACGAGTAATAGGAAGCAACAAGTGAGTAAGCAAATCAAGCCTTATTTTGTAAGGGACCAATTTGCTATGCTGTAAGGCATAATAAAGCCCCTACATCTAATATTGTTGGCCACAAAACTTCAGAATGCACTTATTGTCCTCATTTACTGAACCAGTGGAGCAACGACTCATTATGACTCACAAGACATTATTTGGTCATTGTAATAAACTATTAAACATGAATTATCAGATGACGTATATTAGAGGGATCATGGGTCGTGAATGTTCTATTAATGTGATTTCATTCCTTTGATTCTATAGTGTATTTACACTGAGAATTAGATCAAAAGGTGTAATGGTGTAATGCTAATTACACTTGAGAAAGCACAATTGTGTTTGATAAATGAAAAATAGATGGAAAACGTTGCTATTCTTAGATCCACCCATTCTGTGAATAAGTGCCTGATGACGGGGCACAGAAAAGGCCATATTGTGACTGGAATCAAATCTGTACTTGGTACTTTTGTCAGGAATTTGGTCAAATAATCAATGTATAAATAATCAAAAAGTATACAACCTTTTGACCTGCTGGCACTACAAGACAAATCAGGGAATCATCAACATTGTTTAGATACATGACTGACTGTTAACACTAGAACCACTACCATTACTAGAAAATTATTGGATGTGATATACGGGTATGGCAAGTCAAACAACTCAAAGCAGTTGATACTAATACGTTTTATTGACTACATTTGATCATCTTTGTGATCTGACTCAATAAAAAACAGATGGACCACTAAAATACTTTTTATTGTGCTTCAGGTGTACTTTGTGGAATGCTTACTGACAAGT